CCGCCTTGGCCTCCCAAAGTACTGGGATTATAGGCGTGAGCCACCAACTCCTGGCCTATAGTGCAATTTTTAATAAGTAATGGAGACATGTACAAAGTGTTGTGGGCATGTAGAGTAAATTCTCACTGATCTGCAGGTATTGAAGCATCTTTCGAGAGGCTAACATCTGAAATTAATCCAAAAAAATGAATAGGACTTTGCAAAACTTCTTTTTTAAACTTCTAAAGCTCTATGAGAAAGCACAGTTGCATTCTGAAACCTGATACAAAATAAGTTTTGGTACATAACGCTTTTGTTAATTTGGGGCTGCCTCAGCTTCATTTAGTTCATGGGAAATTGAATTAGAGTAAGCTTGCCAAAACTCTTGAATTTTCTGGGAGCTTCCTAGAATTACCCACAGCATCTTATCTCCTTGGACTCTGTGTGTGTGTGTGTGTGTGTGTGTGTGCGCGTGCGCGCGTGTGTGCGTGTGTGTGAGTCTCACTGTGTCACCCAGGCTGGAGTGCAGTGTTGTGGACTCCATATAGCTCATTGCAGCCTAGATCTCCCAGGTACAAATGATTCTCCCACCTCAGCCTCTGGAGTAGCTGGGACTCAAGTGTGTGTCACTCCGCGTGGCGAATTTATTTGATTTTTTAGTAGAGATGAGGTCTCGCTATGTTGCGCAGGCTGGTTTTGAACTCCTGGACTTAAGCAATCCTCTCATCTTGACCTCTCAAGGTGCTGAGGTTACAGATGTGAGCTACTACGCCCGACATTATTTTCACTTTTAACATGAAGTGCATTCTAGTTCAATGGAAGAGTATAAAATACAACAGATTTGTACATAGCCATTCCATTTAGCTTTATTTGTTTTAGGTTTTTTAAAGAAATAAAAGCACAGTTATAATAGAAGCCCTCATTTGTATTCCTCCCTTATCCTGTTATCCTCCCCTTTCCTCTAGAGATAACTGCTACCCCAAATTTGTTGTTTGTCACACCTTTGCATTTTAATTTTATTTTACTAAGAATTTGTATGTGTTAACAATATATAGTTCATTTTTCCTTGCTAACTTCCATGTAAATGGTATTATGTTGAACCTTTTGCAATTTTCTTTTTTTCTTGTCTTCTTTTTAAAATATGAAATGAGATCTTGCTATATTGCCCTGGCTGGCCTCAAACTCCTGGGCTCAAGCAGTATTCCTGCCTCAGACTCCTGCCTCAGTCTCCTGAGTATCTGGGATTATAGGCACACACTACTGCACCCAGTGCAATTTTATTTTTTGAATTTACATTCTTGAGACTTTTCAAAATGTTGACATGTGGTTACAATTCACTCATTCTAGCTGCTGAATATTACATGATACAAGTTAACCACAGTTTATCCATTTCCTTATTTTTAGACATTTAGGCTATTTCTACTTTTCCCTCAATTAAAATAGTGTTACAACAAATATTTCAATGTTTAGTTCCTTGAACACATACACAGTTGCTTTTCTAGTGAATACATGAGTGGAATTGCTAGATTATACAGTGTGTGTGCATCTTAAACTTCATTATATGTTGCCAAAGTGGTTGTATTGTTTTACCCTCTTTCCAGCAGCATGTGATAGTTTCCATTGTTACTCATCCTCACCTAACACCGGGTATTGTAGACTCTTGGATACTGGATTTGTTAGCCCACATCAGATTGTAAAGGGAGAGTAAAATAGGGAATGCTTCTAGAGGCATTTATTGACAATATATTATAATAATGGCAGTTGACACTTGTGAAAAGCCCAGTATGATAGGTACTTCTCTACATTCCTTAACACCCACAAGAGAAAAAGTTGGCTAATTCTTGCAAGCAGTTACTGGAGAAAAATGAAAATCAGGGTTTAAAACTCTTAATATCATAGGATAGTTTAGTCTTTAGAGGGAAAGTATCTGCCATTGGAAACAATGTTATGTATAAATTGTTTATTATAGTGACAGAATTATTAAGAAAAGTTTATATATTGCGTAATGATATGTCTTAGGTTTCTAAGCAAATAGTTTTGTATCTTGGGACATACATTTGAGATAAAACTTTTTCTGATGGTCTGTCTTAAATTCTTATTCTTAAAATTTGATTTTAGTTTACTAGAAGTTATCAAAGATTACAAGAGACAGGATGAAAATTAATCAAAGAACATTCTTACTATACATAAAATAGTTTTTAATATTGGGAACCTTATATTGGAGCTGATAGGCTATGCATAGACTGTTCACCAGATGAATTATAAGTGACGAATAAACATAAAGAATTTTAACTTTGCTTAACTTGGGATAGTGGTTTTTTACAAGTCATTTCATTTGTAAAATCTGTCCAGAGGAAAAAATTTTTACATAGCTTTTTTTTTTTTTTAAATATAAAAGGCTTAATCACAGTTTTATTTACAGTATTCAATAAGTAAAAACAATTCTTTGGCATTGCTTGGAGGCTGCAATGGGGCTTCCCTGACTACAGATTTGGAAATAAGTTTGTCTTCTTGAGAATTAAATGTCAAGATTTCACATGATGGATCAGAGTAGAAATGTGCAAGATTAGCTTAAAAAGACAGAATGGTTCCTGGGACCTGTCTAGCTGAATATATTTAATGTGTACAAAGGAGGACAGTTATAGCCAGATTTTGGGGTTTCAGGTAAGGTGGGATCATCCTTGGAAGTATGATAGGAGAAATTCTGAGGTTGGCGGTGTTCAGGAAAGTAGGAGCCTTAACTAACAGACATTGAATATGCAGATTTTGTTGACAAACTATCCTGCTAGGGAAGTAGACTAATATTAGGCAAGTTTAGCGTGACTTCACTCAGTGAACATGGAATACAAACAGAGGAAGTGATTCAATTCCATTTGTTCTGATTATTATTTGATATTACAAAAATTTGATCTGTTGGAATAAATTATGAATGGTTTATAATTTTAATTTTGCTGTTTTTACCTTTTCAAATTCTTTTATATATAAAAGCATATTTTATAGTGAGAATTAAAAAAAATACATGGTTGAAATAAAATAGAAGATGGCTTAATGTTTGGGACTTTTTCTCCAGATGGTCAGCAGGAGGATGAAGCCAGTAAAATTGAAGCTCTGCACAAGAGAAGAAATTTACTTGCAGCATTTTGTAAGCTAATTGTATATACTGTGGTGGAAATGAATACAGCTGCAGATATCTTCAAACAGTATATGAAGGTAAAGCTGAAAAATGGACAGCAAAATAGTTTTAAAATATAACACTGGTTTTTCTGCATGGTTGCCATTAAATTAAGTGGTAAATTACAATTCTAGTATAAAAGAGTTGTATTTTAACATATTTAATATTTTCAGTAATATTTCCTTATACCTCTACTTCAGTTAATGGACATTTTGGTTTATTGTGTTCATTTGCATTTGGAATATAAGAGATGGCCTCTTTTAATTTGTCACTATTAGAAATAGTATTTATGATTCAGTTTAAGATAATAGGATGGCATCCCTCCTCTGCCTGATGTAGCATTAAAAAGAGTTTCAGGAGTCAGAAGACTTGGGTGATAGTTTTGGCTTGGTTACCAAGCATCTTGCGATCTTGAGTAACTCAAAACATTTTGCATCCTGAGTTCCTTTATCTGTTTCACTGTAATTGTTAAGATTCCCTTTGGCTTCAAAATCTGACTTGATTCACCATAGGTTATTCATAATTTTCATAACTGTATGTGAGGTTTTGTAGGTTTAAAGTAATAATAAAAAATATTTATACTAACAGAATGTGACTAAATTTGGTAAGATAGCTTTAAAAATCCTTCCTCAAGTAAAATCTAATTATAAATGTAAACTTTTTAAAGCCTTTGCTATCAAGAAATAAAATATGTAATAAATTTATTAAAACCTAGTTAATCCTCCTTGGAATATTTTGCTACTTGAACTCTAATATCATTGAAAATTATTTTGGAACTTAGATGTTTTGGCATAATTACCCCTTCTTTCTTTCTTTCTTTTTTTTTTTTTTTTTTTTTTTTNTACTAAGGTTGTTTATGAAGTTCTTCAACACATTTTAAAGCTTTAGACTTAGGTATTCTATAGCCACTTATTAGTCATAGGGACATGGTTATTCTGTTATCTCTGGTAATTGTTATTGTATGTATTTGAAACATGATCTTAAATTAGGAAAAAAATTCATGTGCAATATGTAATGTAAATGACATGTACAACAACTTTTCTTTTAAAAGTTGTTTACAGGCTGTTAGATTCTCTAAGCCAAATGTTTTAAGCTTCTCATGGTCTATATACCCCATATCAATGAATTAGTTATAAGAGTAACTGAGATTATATTCATTGTTTTACAAAGAGAATTTTGTTTGTATGTTTTTCATTACTTCTGAAAATCTGCATAACCTAATTGTTGTTTTAGCCAATATATCTTCTTTATTTTAAACCAAGTCTGGAGCTTAATTTGATCAGATCTTAACTGTTTTGTATGTATGATTTTACTGAAGTTAGCGGTTGTATGCTTAGAAATGATCTTTAGGTTTCAGTTACATTCTCTCCTGGCTTTGAAGCCATAATTTTGGCCAAATACGTTGTGACATATTTACATGACTAACCTAAAATTAGTCTTATTGTCCAGTAGTTTTAAGAGATAAAGCTCTAATTTGTACAAATTTCTTTTCAGTATTATAATGACTATGGAGATATCATCAAAGAAACAATGAGTAAAACAAGGCAGATTGACAAAATTCAGTGTGCTAAGACCCTTATTCTCAGTCTACAACAGGTAAGCATTGAGAGTACCAACGTTAGCTAACACAATTAACACCCGGTAGCAAAATAAGGTAGCAATTGAAATTAGGCAAAGGGTGCGATAGGCAATTTATAAAAGTAGAAATACAAGAAACTACAAGTGAGATTTTTTTTCTTTTTTTGCTTTCAAACTGTCAAGATTGGCAAAACCTGTAGCTATCTGAAGTGTGAAGGAAATAATAGATATGGTAGGCAATTCGGCAATTTATGTAAAAATTTATAATGTGTATGCCTGAGGCAGCAATTCTACTTGTTAAATTTACTCTTTTATCCAAGGTGATAAAAACACAAGTTTGCAAAAGTTGTTATACAAAGTTGTTATTGCAACATTGTTTATAGGAAGTCAGACATAATCTAAAAGTCTATATTAGGTAAATTTACTGTATAGTATATTTCTGCCACACTGTTGTACAGCGCTTAAAATTAGTGTAGGTCTATATTCATTAAAGTATAAAGAGCTTCATAATCACAACAGTGGTTAACTTGCTTTGGTAGATTTCATGTTGAATTCTACTTTTTTCTCTGTATATTTCCAAACTTATTTTTGTGAGTGTATATTAATTTTATAACTAAAACACAATAGTTTTGCCCGGGCAAGGTGGTTCATGCCCGTAATCCCAGCACTTTGGGAGGAGGCCAAGGTGGGGGGATCACCTGAGGTCAAGAATTCAAGACCAGCCTGGTGAACATGGTGAAACCCCGTCTCTACTAAAAATACAAAAATTAGCTGAGTGCAATGGTGTGCACCTGTAATCCCAGCCATTCGGGAGGCTAAGGCACGAGAATTGCTTGAACCTGGAAAGGAGGTTGCAGTGAGCTAAGATTGTGCCACTGTACTCCAGCCTAGACGACAGAGTGAGGCTCTGTTTCAAAACAAACACACAAACAAAAAAAAAAAACAATAGTTTTCATTTTGACAGTGGTAAGACAGTTTAATTAGGTAAAATTATTCACTTACTATACTTTTGTCTTTCGAGACAAAATTTGTATGCAAAACATAACCCATCCCATTCCAGCTTAATCAACTTTCTTAATTTTAAGAAACATAGATATGAAAGTTCTTAATTTTATTTGAGAATTTGAATTTTCTCTATTAGCATTAATGAAATGTAGGATGGGCGCAGTGGCTGACAGCTGTAATCCCAGCACTTTGAGAGGCCAAGATAGGGAATTGCTTGAGCCCAGGAGTTCGAGGCTAGCCTGGACAACATAGCAGGAGCCCATCTCTACAGAAAAATGAAGAAAGAAAAATAAAATTAATAAAGTTTAAAAGGTTAAAGAGATGGCATTTAAATAACTTTTGCTATAAAGTAATAGCTGCTAGCTGTAAAAGTTTAGAAAAAAAAGGAACAAATGCAAATGATCCTTAATGTTTTTTTCACTTGACAATAACCTTTTTATTTTTTAATGGCCTTGTTACTCTTTTTTTATGCCTACGTGAAATCTGATTTTTTAACAAAAATTAAATTGTGCATTCCATTTTGTAAGGCTGCATTTTAATGTTAATAAATGCTGAACACATTTATGCCATTAACTTCCTTAGCATCTTTTTTTTTTTGGAGCAGGAGAGGCTCATTTATTTTTCTCCTAGATTTTTGTGAAGGTATAATTGAAAAGTAAGGATTCTGTATACTTAACGGTATACAGCATGATGCTTTGATATGTATGTATTGTGAAATGATTAAATTTAGCTAATTAACATAAACATTACATCACATACGTAGGGTAAGAACATTTAAGACCAACTGTCCTAGCAGTTTTTAGATAAACAGTACGGTACATTATTCTTAACTATAGTCACCATGCTATACAATAGATCTTCAGAACTTACTTATCCTTTCCTACTGAAACATTGTTCCCTTTAACCAACTTCTTAGCCTCCCCCAACCCCCAGTCCCTGGCAACCACCATTCTATTCTCTGTTTCTATGAGTTCCACTTCTTAGAGTCCATACACAAGTAAGATCACATAGTAGTTGTCTTTGTGTGCCTGCCTTATTTCACTTCATATAATGTTTTCCAGGTTCATCTTTGTTTTCACGAATTACAGAATTTCCTTCTTTTTAAAAGGCTGAATAATATTCCATTGTCTCTATGTGTAATGGAATGGAATATTATTTCTTTATCCATCCATGGACACTAAGTTTGATTCCACATCTAGGCTATTATGAATCATGCTGGAATGAACATGAGAGTGTAGATACCTCCTCAACCTATGGATTTCATTTTCTCTGGGTATATACCCAGAAGTCTTCCTTATTTTAAAAGGTTGACACATAATTGTACATATTTATGGGGTGTACATAGTGATGTTTTGGTACGATGTACAGTTATCAAAGCAGGATAAGTAGCATATCCATTTTGACAACTATATAATATTCCATTTTATAGATTAGACCACAATTTAACCAAAGTTTCCTTGTTTATGGTGAGGTTTTTTTTTTTTTCCCAACAATTTCTGCCATTATAAATAGCACTAAAACAAACATTTTTGTACATAGTATTATGGATATTCTTTTGGATAAAGTTCTATAATTAGAATTGCTTTGTTAAAGAAGATTAACATTTTTAAGCTTTCGCTATTTCATGTTGAGAGTTCTTGATGTGAAGATTCACCACTTCAATGTAAATAACAGAGCCTAATAATTTTCTTGGTTTTCTTTTTCTTTATATTTTTATATGCTATGTTAATATCCAATTAATACCAGCAGAATAGCATTCTGCTAAAACTAACCTAAAGGGTCTCTTCTAATGTTAATAACAACTTCCGGTTTAAATATATGAAGTACTGCAAGTTTGGTTATTCGTATCATGTTTTAATGTTTGGCGATAGAATACAGTGCCTCATGTATTTAACACCTATATTTTAAATGAAAATGTAATATTTTAAAAGATGTTAATCTCCAAGTATTAAGAACTTTAACATGCTTTCTTTCTTTCCAAACAGCTTTTCAATGAAATGATACAGGAAAATGGCTATAATTTTGATAGATCATCCTCTACATTTAGTGGCATAAAAGAACTGGCTCGACGTTTTGCTTTAACTTTTGGACTTGATCAATTGAAAACAAGAGAAGCCATTGCCATGCTACACAAGTAATCTCCAGATATTTTATTCAGCTCTCATACTTTTTAGTCATGAAACATTTTTTTTTGTATCTAGCCCTTTCATTTGGAATAACTAAATTAAATTTATGCTTTATTATTAGCTTATAAATCTGTACCCTATCTCCTTTCTTAATTTTAAAGAACCAGTTATAGTGCTGTCTCAATTAACAAATGAGTTGGGACCGCGCCTGGTACTCATACTTGTAATCCCAGCACTTTGTGAGGCTGA